TAGTTCTTTATTGCACTCGAGGAAGTTCACACCAGGCGTGCAGGCGACAAGGAAAGGCAGGGAGCCCATGCACAGTGTGTGCCCTTGCCACCCGCCTGGAGGCAAATGGTAGATACGAGATGGCACAGCAGAACAGCGAGTGTACGTCCCTCAGGGCCAATGGGATGTTTTCCTGCATGATTGGTGTGAAGTTCTTCTTTGTCTTGCACGAAATATTTGGGGAGTGACGTAGGCGAGAGATACAGAGCTATCACTAGCAAGCCATTGTCAACCTTGGCGGCACACAATTTACCATCTTCGTCTGACGTGCCACAGATATCGATGGGTACGGCACAGGCCCGTACCCATGTAGATGGCCACTTAAATACTGAGTGCCACCACGTTTTCTAACGTGCTTTCCTCCCTGTGATTTACGAATGGTGATAGCACTTGCCTGCACAACGGGTAGCTGGCATCTCCCCCTCCCTCTCCTCCTCCTCCCTCATCCTCCTCTCCTCCCATTCCTTTCCCTTCCTCCCCCTCCCCTCCTCCTCCTCGCTCGTCCTCCTCCTTTTCCTCCCCTCCTCCTCCCAACTCCTCCCTCCCTCCTCCTCCTCAAGAAAAGAAAAGAGAACGCCACGTACATTATACAATTTTAAAACAGGAGTAGTATCAAAATATCAATTCGTGCATGATATATAGTAGACCAATATATTTTAAAGAAGATTATGAGTAGTACAACGGAAAAGCACGGAAACAAAACTTCAGCACTGGTTACTAGCAGAAATAACTAGTTACAAAACAGCGAGGCAAATGAATTACGGAACAGGCTGGTGTCACTGATGTCTACGAAGGAGTTAAGGGAAGGCCGTTCTAATCCCGCATGTGTTTGTGAAACAGCGGAATTAATAAAAACATTAGTTGTACCGGTCCGGTGCTTGAAACTTCGGGTGAACTCGAGAAACTTCCGCCGAACTCGAGAAACAGCTATCGAACGAAAGCGGCATCAAATAGCAGTTTGCACTTTCTCTTTGTTAAATTGTGGTCTTATTCAAACACACACGCAAAAACACACACACACGCGCACGCACAGACACACACACACATATATATATATACAGGCACGTAGCCAGGATTTTGTTTCGGGGGAGGGCCCGCCCATGACAGAAGGCTGTATGAGGGGGAGGGGGGAGAGGAGAGCCCAGCAAAATGGAAGATTTTGGGGGCGGGCCCCATGCCCCCCCACTGGCTACGTGCATATATATATATATATATATATATATATATATATATATATATATATATATATATATATGCATATATATATATTCTGTGTGGCTACTGGCTTAGTCATAGAGATAATTGCGTTCAGGTCTGTTGCGTTGAGGTATACTGCATTGCATCAGGCAGGTTCTTTTCGCCGAACACAATGTGTAGGCAAAAGTACCGGCTAGATAGATGATGTCACCAGCCACAGGTGTGGTTATGTAAATTTTATAACGCAATGTAATATTTCATGCACGCGGCATTTATAGACTTTTAGGTGAACATTTGGAAACCTCACGAAGTCGCACGCGTTGGGGCCCAAACCGCAAATTTAACAGCGTAAAAAAAAAAGTTTATTGCAGGAAATGGCAGTCCCGTAATTCGAAAAAAGAATCTCTATCTAGATACGAGGGGTGATCAATAAGTTTTGCCTTCTAGGATGTAACTTTTTTATTCAGCGATGAAATTGAAAGCTGTTACATTGAAATTAAAGTTTAAAATCTCCTCTTTCCGAGGAGCACATAAATTTTCCACATAGTCCCCAACGGCGGCGATGCACTTCCGCTGCCGGTGCACTCTACACTCAGCCAGTGTTGCGGAGGGCAGCCCCATTCCATTCCAATTCCATTCCAGGGATTTATAGTTTTCGATAATTCAATTCCTTTCAACTCCTAGGAATGGGGACACTGGGCCCATTCCCACTCCTGGAATGGCTGAATTGTTCCATTCCATTCCTCTAATTCCTAAACGTAAAAATTGGCACTTGACAGCTACATTGCGTTGCGGGGTTGGGCAGAAATACTCAAAAATGTATTTGAAAATACAAATACTTGGATAGATGGAAATTGTAGCTAAAATACTGATACTCAAATATATCTGTAATGTATCGCGATACGTATCGGAAATGCATTTAGAAAGAGGCAAAAAGTTTTTGGAAACACAAATACAGGAATAGATTTTACGGAGGGCAGAAATATAAATACCGATAATGCAATACATTTTTCAAAATTCTTTGAGACGCCAACTGAGATGAGGCTTTAAGTTTGAAGTGGAAGTTGTTTTTGTCCCGAAACTACTTTCCCACAGGCTTGGCACTTCGCCTTAAAGGTAGTGGTTCTGAAGTTCGAAGAGGAATATTCAGTGGGTTACAAAAACGTTACATCAAGGATTGACCGTGGTCCCTTCCTTGGCATCCTGTCTTTCTGAGGAGTGATGCGAAAAGACTTCGACCTCTAAATAAATTTCATCAAAACATCACCACCTCCCCGTCCAATAAGGGCGCCCCTGTCAACACTGATCACATGACGTCCCTGTGGGATGACCAAGTATTCTTGTATCTGTAGGTGTTGCCTTGAACATGAAACTTTAACCACGCTGCTGTATGAAAGGACAATACGTACTTTCGTTGTAGGTGACCTCGTTGAAGACCACGCAGGCAGTTGCATTTGGAATTTTTGAGAATAGTGGACCACCTGAAGCATCCTGGAGCACATGTCTTATCTTCTGTTACGGTTGAAAAATCGATACGGTGGCCTGCCTGTTGTGACCGTCCTACCTGTCGATCCTACGCCTCCAAGGCATGAATGGCAGTGCTCAAGTTTCGCCTAGCATCATCCGAACAGAGACCTCGTGGATTGCGACCTGAGATGGCCGGCACAGGTGCGAGTTCTCCGAAAAACAGCGCGCTCGAGTCGCAGGTGTACGAAGTCTGGGTCCGCACAGCGAGGCGTCTGGCCTCCTTCCAGGGTATCGGATCACCAGAGCAGCGGGTCACGTTTACGTCGACCCTTGAGCCGTGCAATATTACAGGCGCAGACGTATTCGGATATGTGTTGAACTTCAATGGTGACAAACGCCACCGCCGCCCCCCTTTGTTCTTTGCTTTGACGCTTGTTTTTTGTATTACTTTTTTTTTTTTTGCGTATAAGGCTGTTCGGGCTCCACGCGGGTTTGCAGTTTCCCGCTCATTTTATTTCTGAACAACTGACTCGCTGACTGGCACGGTACAGCTAAACGTAAAAAAAAAAAATTAATAAACATATATTAAATGAATAAAAAAATAAAAAACCGGGCCCATCCTATTCCGGGCAAAAGGCATCTAATTCCATTCCCATTCTATTCCCGGGTCGCGAAAATACGGAATGATTCCGGGAATCATTCCAACTCCGGAGTGGCAACTCCGCAACACTGCTCTCAGCATGCCGTCGTAGATGATTGAGGGTGGCTCTTAAGGAGACCATGCCGCGCTGGAGAAGCTGCAGATCGAAGATGTTTTGCCTCGTTCACCTTACAGCCCAGACCTCGCGCCATCATACTATTGGCTGTTTTCCAAGATAAAGGAACATCTAAAGGGTTCACGGTTTACGTCCGATAACGAGGTTACCAATGCAGTCCGCCGTTAATGTCGTCAACAGCCGCTCTAAATCATCTACGACGACATGCAGAGCATTGAAAAGTGGTGCTCCCGGGAAAGAGGACATTCCAAACGTTCATTCGAGTGTAACATCTTTCAATTCCATCACTGAATGAAAAAGTTACAGCCTCGGAGGCAAAACGTATTGATCAACCCTCGTATGGTGTTCGCGAAATATCGTGGAATCGTTAGCGAAATATCGTGAAATGAAATCTCTTGGGAAAAGACGAAGCTATATAACTTCGTTTCATTTCAAAAGATTTTATTCGAGGTCCTACCTAAATAAGCTGCTTTCTACCTTTCTTTAGACTTCTAGGATGCGTGTGACTCGAATGACGAGTAGTTACTGCCAGAATTGCAACGTCAGCATCAGCAACAGGCATACAAAGTAATAAATAGAGCACGTGGCCACGCGCTCCATTTATGGTTTATTGTGTAGAGCAACGGAGTCACGCTTGCGTTGTCACTCGCCATACTACAGACGCTTTGCACTCGCGCCAGATTGCAGCCGCCATTGCTGACCTTCTGTTGTCTTTCCCCAGATGCCGAGCCAGTGAAGCGGGCGTTGACGAGCGGCACAAAGGCCAATGCTGGGGAGAAGGACACGATAGAATTGAAAATGGTAATAACCTGCCCTGCTAGGGTCACGCCGATGAAGTAAAGCAAGCGTAATAAGTTGGGGAAAAAATGAAGGTCGGTTATGGTGTCGCCCACACACAGCTGCTGCAAAGCGTCTATAGGCTCGTACCATTTCCAACGTGTTCACAGACGGTTGCACGTGTGTAAATGTGTAGTGGATGGGGCTTTGAATATTTGTGATTTATTTTTAGCATATGTCAGTTTGCGCGGAAAAGCACCGCTTAATACTGCCTGAAAAAAAAAAATATAAGATAACTTGCGTGAAGTAATTCTGGTAGTTTTTTTTTTCTTTTGCGTTTTGGCTGATAACAAAAAACGTTAATTTTACCAAGGGAAAAAAAAAACGAAATTTGAATAAAAGCTACAAAATACGTACCTCAAATCACGCATTTTTCCTTTTTCTTTTTTAATATCCGACGTCCTTAAAATCCGCGATACTTATGTGCAACGAAGGTTCAGGACTCGATCCATTTCCGGTTTCTCCGCATTCTGACGGCGCGCCGTAGTTTCCAAGAGTGCACGTGCTCGCGCGAGTTCCCCCTCTTCCAAAACGCTGAGCAAACAAAGTCCCCGATTGCGCGCCCTCGCATCAAGCGTTCCACGCAACCCGCCGAGGAAAAGTGGGCGGTCGCGAAACAAGAGAGGGCGCCAACACTCGCGATGCCGACCGCAAGACGAGATGCGAGCCTTGGGCCCCGGATCCGTTAACTCCAGGCCTGGCCACGAGACCGGCGGGAGAAGCGCGCGGCGCAACAGCGCGAGGAGGCCTTGCACTCGTCACGGCTCGCCCGCCCCGCGTAGATGCGGCGGGAACAGTCGCAGAGGACGCTCGCCCGCTACCACCACGGCATTCCCTTTCGCTCTCCTCCATTGGTGACGCGGCACGCGACGACATCGACGACGTCTCCCTGAGTACACCGGACTACAACCGGTCTGACAGCAGAACTTACCCGTCGCTCGTAGACGGCACGTGGGGAGTCGGCCGGCATCTTGCTCCAAGGACTTCGCCAGGTTACGTGCTGCCAGGTGAGCGCGGGCAGACGCTACGCGGAGTGCGTTTCCGCCCCTTGCCGCTCTCGGCCCCCGTTGTCATTTCGGCTGTTTGGTCGTCGTCCCGATGAACATTGAGCGCGAACACTTGCAACACTGGCGACGTTTATTTTCGCGAGGTTATGATGAAGTTTGATATCACTAACTCGGTAATAAGTTGCTTTGTGCGTACCTGAGATAACGCATCTTGGGAACCTTCATTTTTGAGGTACTGGAACTTTTATCTATAATTTTGAAAAGCTTGTAATTGCGCCGACTTTCTTATGCAAGCGTTTTCGCGGCCCCTTGAACCAATTTCACATTTGAAGGGATTGACCTTTAATGCCTGCATGCTGCCGTTTTCTTTTCTTTTTTCTTTTTTCTTTCAAGTACCGGCAGAATACAGGCGCCTAAGCCGCCTCGGTGGCTCCGAGGCGAGAGCGTCGGCCTACGGATCCCCATGTGGCGGGTTCGAATCCCGGCCGAGGTGCCCGCAATCTGACGGAGGGTTATTGCGGAGAAGACGCCGTGTAACCGAGCTTTCGGTTGCACGTCAAAAGATCCCCAGGTGGTCCAAATTAATCCTCAGTCCTCCGCTGGGGCGTGCCAGATGCCCGTCGTTGGTTTGGCACGTAAAACCCCCAAATTTGACTTTGACTTTTAATACAGGCGCCTAAGGAGCTTAAAGACTATCGACGCTTTTTCGAGAACATATGAACAGTTTAAAGAATGCCAAGATAAACAATTGGGAGCAGCCAGTTCCAGTGGTTATACTTGTCGAGCAGCTTGCATTGGCATGCCAACTTATTTGCAAGTAATTCCAGAAATGCTCTCTTTGTTATGGCGTTGCGGAACTCATTTTAAAAGGCAACTTCCGTGGTGTGTGTGTGTTTTTTTTAATATTCATTTGTAATAACGAGTGTCACAGATGTATAACTCTTTCTGATGCTCTCGTACATTATTAGAAAAATTATGAGCACGGTGTTCCAAAAGGGCTAAACAGTTTCTAAGAAACATATATCAAAATCTAGAACGGCGGCCCTTGGGTCCCCGCATCTCGCATTCGTAAAATTAATGAAGCAATGAAAGCGTCTCAAACTACTCCTTGTCACACTTCATATACAAGTAACAAAAAATAAATTTCTTGCATCACGAAAAGGAAATCGATAACAAGTTGTTTCTTTCTTTTAGATAAGAAGAGGAAGTATACCCGCGCCGGAATTTGTGATAGCCATTTTTTGTCTGTTTCTTTTTCTGCCACAACTTAAATGTTGGCCTTCAAAACTGTCAGTGTTTTAAGATGTGCACACCTGCGGCCCCGAGAAGGATCGGTGGCCGAGTGGGCTAGCGCACACCAGCTCGGAGCACTTGGAGCGAAAGCTCGCCCTGCAGAACCCAGGGATCCTGGGTTTAAATCCCGCCCCTGCCCGTTTCGATTTGGATGAGCACCGGTCGTGTATCACAACTGCGTGGTGCACGTTAAAGACCCCAGGCTAGCAGTAATACCGCACTGGCTAAATTGCTCATCTACAGCTGAGACACCAGACGCCCCCTGAGGCAAACTAACTTCCGGCTGTAACAATTTGCTGCAGCCCGACCTGGTTGGTAAATATTGTTTGCTTTATGCTAACCTGCGAACACGTTACGATAAAGCACGGATATCCCGTTCCGGCAACTTCTTTTGCGCAGTGTACGTTCATACCGTTACATTTGGTAGATAACTTGTTTTGAATAAGCCACTGACCTATCAGCATCATACAAATATTTATCAGAGCTGGGCACGATACTTCAAAAAAGTATCTTCGATACCGATACTCTAAACAATTGTATTTTCGATACCGATACAAGATACAAAACCGAAATTGATTTCCGATACAGATACTCGATACTGTATCGTCGATACTTCGATACATAACTGAAATCACCAATATTAATAAAGCTGGTCAATGATTAGTTAAGTCACGAAATTTATCCGTGTTTTTGGAATATTTAGTGTATTCGATAGAGCGGACTGTTCTTGCAAGGGCTTAAACGAATCCGCCTACACGGATTTCTTTAGGCTCCCCTGTCGGCGCAGTAGGTTTCGTTTGAACTTTAGCATTGGACCGAAGCCATGGTGACGTTTAAACAATCGCTTCCCTAAGCAGCGTAACAATTTTTTTTTTAACTAGTGTTCTTCGTGCGAACCGGTCTCTGAGCACTTCACTATACACACGAATAAACTTGCAACTTTTTCTGATGCTTTTCGTTTGTTACTGCAGTATTTACCGGGTTGCCTCTACCTTTGCCCTGTGCTGAAAGGTGCAAGCTCCGTCCGCTTAAGAAAATCAGAACAGTTATTTCCCTAGCACTGCGTTTAACACACGCTTAGAGTTGAACATTCTGCGTTAAAATCTAGAACAAAAGGGGCTGGAAGTTTTATTAGGCTTAAAGGTCCTAAGTAACAGCATTTTCTCCAACCGCCGGTCCGCAAAAGCCATGCAATGCAACCGTCCAAAAAAAAAAAAAAAAAAAAGACATATATATATATATATATATATATATATATATATATATATATATATATATATATATATATATATATATATATACAGTAGCAGACCAGCACGTTGCCGTGTTGTATTTTATAAAAGCGACTTTTGTAAACTGATAAAGGATAAAAAATGGAATCAATACATTGCTTTTTTTTTTTTTTTTAGTGTGCTAACGCCTGAGCGAGCGCCGCAGGCCCAAAGTCTGACTCACAGCATCTTCAACATCTGCAGCATATCCCATACTTCTTTTTTTTTTTTGAGTATCGAGTACTGTAAAAATGCACATATACTAAAAATGTAATTTCGACGCCGATACAACGATGCTTTCATTTCTGACAAGTGATACCTAATACCGATACACAAAATGTATCGAAGATACATGTATCGTTGATACTGCCCATGTCTGATATTTATGAAGTAAATTTAGAAACTACTGTTCTGACCAAACCTGGACTTTCTGCTAGCATTAGAAACGCTCAATCATATGTATGTTTTGCGTCCAATTTACTTTACAATCGAATTATGGTCATGCGCATCTTTGTTTCGTAACTATGGGCTAATTGATGTAATGGAATTTCGTAAACCTCGATGTGTTTGAAACAACTGGCTCGGATAAAGAGTTTTCAAAAAAGCGGCAATTCTCTCGGCTCATCCTTTCTTTGATTTTACTTGTCTTTAAATCCTCCGTGCCCTTTCAAAACACAAAGTAACGAACTATGCAAAATAAACGAGCTTCAGGAAGAGAAAGTACGCATAAAAACTGGTTGGGAAATAGCAATTCTAAAATAAAAAAAAAAGCAGAAAAACACAGGCCTTTTCTTTTTGTGAAACATATCGAAAGCGATAGTCCGGACGTGTGCGCTTTTGTTAAAAAGATACTTTTTCTAACCGTATATAAAGAAACCGGTTTTATCATTTATATATGTACGCGTTTACAAGGGAAACGCGTTTTAGTGTTGTTGGCCTTAGTAATAACGGCGAGTGACACCTAACGGAAAATGTCAAGCGGGGATGTTAACGTTGACGAGAAAGGGGCATGTGTTGAGACTGCACATGTCCTTTTGTTTTATAGGTTTTCCCGGTGTATAACTCTATTTTTTTTTAACCTTTTCGCACAAGACTATACAATACCTGCGCGCTCATACTAATGTTTTCACCCGTCAATGTCACGGCTTTGTCAATGCTCGCTCGTGTTGCTTGAACCCAAGAATCAGTGCATACGTCCGTGAACATGAAGAAAAACCCTGTCGTTGAAAAAGGTTTTCTTTCTCTTGCCGTTTTTTTTATAAACAGAATGTACGCTGTCCCATGCAATGTGAAACTCGAAAGGAAACTTATTTAAAAAGATACTGAACCAAACATTTTAGTGTCCAGAATAAGTGGCACACGATCTTTCCACGAGCCAACAGCCGCCAGTGTGCGCGAGCACACGCAACGAAATTGACGTCATGACCCTCCATTCACGCTTAAAGGAGTGGTGCAACGATCTTCAATTGGAATGTTTTTCACTTTACACGAGCTTACTGACACTAGTGGGACTCAAGGATACTCGCACGCAAAGCCACTGGCCAAGGAACCCCTTTGTTGCGGTGTAATTTCAAGGACAAAAGCGATCATTTTCAATCAATCTCTCCTTTGCAAAATTTGATGATGTAAAGTGGGGATCGCAGTACACCCATGTGACGATATTTGAATGCGGTTCATAGATTGGACCCGAGCATTGCGTTGGCACTCGATTTGGGTTCGTGATAATTACTATAGCTCAAGAAGCATTCAGGTAGTGGCCCGTGTCCAATCGCTGCAACGACGACAATAGAGAGTTTTAGTAGATCGTTCCCATGACTCCGATAACGATACCCGATACTCCGCCACCGCGCCTCCCGTGCGCATGCATAGTATCGTTATCGGGGCTATCGGAGGTATCGGAACGATCTACTAAAAATCTCTACTAGCCGAGCCGTAACCATGTCTGGAACTCAGCGCGTATCCTGTGCTTTGCCAACCCCAGCACGTGGCTATAATCAACATTGGCGGCATATAATCGGCTCCAGATCGCGTGGCCGCTTGTTCTGGCTGCGACTTGAGGGGGTGAACGCTGCTCGTTTTTCTTTAATTTTTTCCTGGGACTTCTATTGTGTGGGGTGAATAACGAACGCGTATTTTATAGGTCAGTAACGTCAGGGATCCGTTCTAAGCGGTATTTGCGCAAAATACATAAATTGTTGCATCGCTCCTTTAAGATGAACTAAGATGACTCCGGACAGAAGGAGGATAAAGATACCCTTCATCTCCAGAAGTGAAATCTACGTGCTTGTTAGACCAATTAATCGCCTACCTTTTGCACCAGACCCCACTGTGGAGATGAAAAACCTGTCTTTTTTCTCCTTTTCCCCGGAGCCCACACATTTCACTGTCATCTAAAGGGGCCCCTAATTTTTTTTTTTTTTTCTAGCAGTCTGGTTG